CATTTGATGTGAAAGTGGAAGATGCCCCTCCAGATGTCCAACTTGAGTTGATAGACATCCAGTGCAGTGATGAATTGAAATCACAGTTCAAAAATTCTAATCTCCTCACATTCTACAAAGAACTGCCAGATAAATCATTTCCAAAACTGAAAGACAATGCTCGATTTTGTGCAAGCATGTTTGGCAGTACCTATGTATGCGAACAAGTGTTTTCGCTTATGAATTTAAACAAGTGCAAAACACGGAACAGGTTAACCAAAGAGAATTTGGAAAATATGGTTGTTTCAACATCTGCCATTACACCAGACATCAAGAAGATTGCTGCCAGCATCCAATCTCAGCCATCGCATTAATCGCTTGGAGGTCCGGCCCCCAGTCAGTAAACTTAACCCTAATTTGGCCCTTCTTCACAAAAGGTTGTGCATCCCTGCTTAACTTTACCAGTAACATTTGGCGGCACTATCTGTTATATCTTATTAAAAAGAACTTTTTATAATTTTATTATTATAAAGTTGCAAAAAACTTAATTTTGAGGATAAGGATGGATTTTATAAAAAATTGTAAATGTAAATAATGGGTAAAATAGTCACTAAATCTGATCCTACTTGAGATACAACTCCTTTATCTCCCCACTCTCTTAACCTTTAACCACTAAAATTCAATAGCATCAATCTCCTAATACACAAACCTACCTGCAAAATTTCGGAAATTTTTGACAAAAAGCGCAGGAGTTATTAAGCTACAAAGAAGGTGAACGAAATAATTCCACATGCACACATCCAAAATAGGATTAACATCCTTTATTTAAGATAATTGGAGTTCTACTATAGTTATAAAAATAAAATACTGTATTTTTATTAGTTTTTGTAACTTAAACTCCCTTTTGTACTGGTTCTTAGTCCCATGTAACAGTTTCACACTAAACAAGATTTGATTAAAACCTGCATTTAAGTATTTATATAGTTAAATTAAACTATTTTCATATATTAACTGACCTCTTAAGTTGTACATTCACCAAACTCTTGATCTATTCACATTGGTGGTGGAGCTGGATTTGTGAAATCAATTCCAGATAATTCTCTAGCTAAGTAAACTCCAGCAGCAAACATTGTCCAACTTTTAATTAATTGCCTAAAATAAATTTAAAAAATAAAGCATTAGACTTTGATGTTTCTCATTATATTAGTAATTTTAATCCTGTATATTAATTCTAAATGTTTTCCAGCACTAAAAGATTATTATTCATTACATGTTAAGTTAATGATTAAAAAATAAAATCAATTTCTCTGTGCTGCTTCTGTTCTCTATACAAATTTTAACTTTTTCTCCATCTTCTAAACAATTTTTTTTGTATGCTGGATAACTGGAAGTTATTAAAGCAGTTCCCAATAACTGTTAAGGTAAATTTGAAAATTTTCTCCTTCACAATGCATGAAAGTAAATTGTCAAACATTAACCATATTATCTATGTCTCAATCAATCTATTACAGAATTTACTGTTGAGATATTCTCTAACAAAATTAGTGATGGGTTATTATTTAACAACCTGTTATTTCAAGAAAACAAGAGATTGTTATTTAAAAATAAAAACTTATATAAAGTATGTTGTGTATGAGTACCAAGTGAAGAACAGTCAACTGTAGAAAGACTTTGTAACAGGATTCTAGCCTGCTAACCTGGAAAACCAAGGTTCATTCTACATTGGAAACACTACATATTAAATGGGAAGTATGTCCAAGATATGTTGGATACTGTACCTTGTTACCCAGCTACCCCATTAATGGGTCTGAAGAAACCTTTCTAAGTGGGAAGAGTAAAAAAAAATACAACAAAAATAGGATTATGTCTATCATTTAGTCATCTAGTTGAGGATCTGACCTGTTAAATAAAAAAAATAAGGAATACAATACAAACTTAATTAGTGAAACTATAACTGGGATCCTACAGTGCTACACACATTTTTGTGAATACTACATTTTCACAATAAGTTTGCATATTGAAAATCAAATGATATTTTATTATGGTATTTTATTTTATTAACTTTATCTGCTACCTCATTAGAATAAAAAGCCACATTTTTAAATCTTTGATTTAAATATGTGGAACTCACTAATGTATTGCTTGACTCTAAATATCCTAATCTATCTCTTATTCCCCTGTTTATATTTTGAAGTACTAATTGTACTTCATTTTTATATTCATTCTTCTTTATCATTATATTATATATGTTACAGTCAAAACCCGTTTTTAGTTAGAACGCGTTTTAACTAGTTGAAACTAGTTTATACTGAATGTCTTTGTTAAAACCCGTTTTGTCTAGTTAAAACTAGTTTTAACTCAAATTCATTTTTGACTAGCAGTAAATTCTAGTTTTAACTAGACAAAACGGGTTTTAACAAAGACATCCAGTATAAACTAGTTTTAACTAGTTAAAACGCATCCTAACTAAAAACTGGTTTGACTGCAACGCATAGAGTGATTCGGGGTAAGATGGTAAGCGGGGGAAGATGCCTAATTTTTGATATTTTCAAACGGTGACGTCACATATTGTCATGTATTTGTATGATGAATCGTTGGGCCAATATTGAGTGCGGAAAGCTGTAGTTGGCTACCGTTACTTCATTTTCTACATCCGAGAAGAATAAAAGCTAGATAAGAACGAAGTTTTTGTTGTGAAATGTTTCTAGAATAATTTTAAACTAAAAGTTAAAATGGAATTTATTAAAAATTGCTAAAAACAATTAATGTGTGATGTAGTTAAGGTTCTAAAGTTTCCATTGTCAGCTACCGCCGATCCCGATCGGACATGCTGGAGCACGTGACTCTACTAGGCATCTTACCCCAACAAATGGAAAATATGCCACATTTTTCTTGGGGTAACGTGCCTATTTTTTGTTAATTGATTTCCAATATGCCTATTTTTAATAAACTTTTGTTTTCTCGTTTTATTGCAGGATATGCATAGAAATTATATAAGGACTTCTCAAAAAAGTTTTTGGACTGAAAAAAGCTTTCAGCTAGCTATAGAACACGTTAGAACGGGCGGAAACTTAACAATACTTATACTGTGCTGTTATACTTACTATGAAGTACTTTGTACTACATATGCAATAAATTAAATTTGGTTAAGAAATTCAAAAATTAATTTTAAGCAATTATATTTGTTATCTTACCCTAATGGCATTTGGCATCTCACCCAGATACTTGGGGTGAGATGCTTAAAATGCCAGACAGTGAAAAAGTCGTCATTGCAAACACAGTATAGAATTTTTTAAAATAAACTCCAAACTTTTATTTGAAAGACATACTCCAGAATATGATATTTTCATTAGAGGGCTCCTAAACTCAAATTAGCGCTGTAATTTTCTTCATAAGCAAAATGTTAGGCATCTTCCGCCGAATCACTACACACAACTTTATTTCCCCCAAACATATTTATGTAGCTAAAATTAGTTTTAACTAATGTTAAAAGTTAAAACTAGTTTTATCTAAAGTCAAAACATGTACAGCAGTAAATTAACTAGACAAAACCGGTTTTGTCTAGTTAAAACTAGAATTTACTGTAGTCAAAAATGAATTTGAGTTAAAACTAGTTTTAACTAGACAAAACGGGTTTTAACAAAGACATTCAGTATAAACTAGTTTCAACTAGTTAAAACGCGTTCTAACTAAAAACGGGTTTTGACTGTAACATATACATCACATAAGTCATTAATGAAGATTATTGCTAATGAAGCTGTCATATATTCCTCAGCACACAATTTTGTTGTTGATTCCATGGGAGATAAAATGACCAATAATTCTTTAATAATTTTGCATTCTTTACACGACAAAGTAAATGTATCGTCTCTCTCTACAATTGAAAGTGTTGCCAATTTCTTCTAATTCTGTAACTCTGTAACATGATATATTCAGAATTCCATTGAGTTGATACTGCTTGTATGACTTTTTTGATGTGTTGTTGCCCATTTTGTTTTTGAAAATTATAAAGTTTACATTTTACTACTATACCTGTTTAAAATAACTCTATGTTTTTTACTTTCTCAGTAATTTTCTTAATATCTTTGACATCAAGAGAATTTTGCATTGTAAAATTTAGTACGAGATCTAAACAGCCCAAATGTGTCCATTGTAAATCATGTTTTATTGCTTTCACAATATTGATAGCATTATCAGAACAGCCAGTTTTAAGTACATCATGTGTACTGCATGTTCTTAGAACTGGCTGCAAAACTGTTTTGACTGTTCTGCAGTTGTTACTTAAAAGAACTGAAGAACAGTCATAACAGTGAATTGTAGAAAAAAAAGACTTGAAAACAGGCTTCTACTCTACCAACTTGGGTAAGAACCCAAGTTCATTCAGTTTCAAAAACAGTACTTTTTACATGCAGCTGTCTGTCACCACCCAATTACGGGCACAATAGATATGATTAAAAAGATACAAGCTCTCTTATTAATGTCTATAGGTAAGAGGACCATATCATTTACAACCCAACCTGGGACACATTTCAAAATCAATGAAAATGGGGTCTAAAACTGACTCAACTTCAGTTATTTTCAAAAATTTATTGATCCATAAATTGCTTATATTGACACATTAATAAAATTGCTCTATTAGAAGACTGATTCTACAATCAAATGTTAAAAATAGGCAACACTTGGGTCATCTAGTTACCTTACTATAGGGAAAAGAGTCAAAGATAATAAGGTAAAATTCTACCGATAACAAACAAGCTAGACTATGGCCAGAATTAATCATTGATCCATGGCTGATGATTGCACAGCACTGGTAAGTTATTTTCATCTATATTTTTAAATAACAACAACAATTTGTTATTGTTATAAATAATTACTTTGTCCATCAATACAGAAAACCCCGAGCAATCTCACATGCAAGGTCTTTCTGGCCATTCTGCACTAAACACTAGTGGTCAGATACTATCGATAGCGCTATCGGTACTATTGATGTTTTAAAAATATCATTGCTATTGATTTAATTTTCTATCATACTTTTCACATGAAACAAATAATAATAAAGAAAACACCTTTTTTTTGCCGAGAAATAAATATAATTTGCAAAAACAAACGTTTTCAACCTAGTTAATAGGCCATCTTCAGATCGAAAAAATGGAATGCAAATGTTCCATAAATAGAACATAAAAATATTTAAATCAAAAATTTTACAAGTAAAAAATAACGGAAGAATAAATAAACAAATAAATAAATTAATTAATTAAAACAGAAATAACATAAATCTTCAATGGATTAATTCTGGTCGAAGTTTCTAGTATATTTCTTAACCAAATATTTCCATGCCGATGGTAGGCTCTCCGCATCTCTCGCATTTAAACAGCCTTCCCCTATCCTACTTCTGTATATTTCAATTTTCTCCGCCGTCATTGCTAGAGTTGGGGAAGACAGAGGCTTGATGATTGTTGCCTCATCCCATTTAACCTCAGAGCCTTGCGCTTGCGCCATTTGTGACAATATCGTTGAATTAGATGCTTTTCTTATGGCGTATCTATGTTCTTTGAGCCTTACTCCCAAGTTTCTGGTAGTGACGCCGATATAATCTTTTTTAACATCCAGTTGTA